ATTTTAATAAAGAACGAAAAGATAAAAATAAAAATAATATATATTAAAAGAACATATAATAATAATAGCTAAATTTAAGTAAATATATATATAAGTATTATATATTATATAAATTATTTCTAATTATCAATAATTTTATTATTTTATATATCTAGCAAATAATATATAGATTAACAATATTTTTTTTTTTCTATAATTATTATATTTTTTAAAAAAAATTAATCGAAAATAAAAGTCTTTATTTATTTTTTCTTTTCTCATCTTTTTTATTGTTATTTACTATGTTTTATAAAAAAAATTAGAAAAAAATTAAGAAAATAATATTTGATTGATGTTAATAATATATAACGACACAATACAGTAGTGCATTAATGTTATACAATATAGCAAACAAATATAAATTTAAATAAAATAGAGTATTAAATATTATCTTAAATTAAGGAATCTACCCTTAAATTATAATAAATAAAATAATAAATTATACAAAAATTTTATATTAATAAAAAACTTTACAACAAATAATCAGATAAATTTAATATTATATATTAAAATATTATTATATAAAAAAAAATCAATTTTATTTAAAATTTTGAAATAAAACTTTATGAAGAAAAATCTAAATAAATAAAACATGTAAAATAATAAAAAATTAACTAACTATTTAAACTAATTTATGAATGTATTTATTGTTGTTTAGTACATTTAACTGGAGATATAATGAAGAAATATTTAGAATATTAAAAATGAGGATATAATATATCCAGAAATTGAATTTTTTTATTTTTTAATAAAAACTATAAAAATATTATAAAGAAGATTAAATGAGATGAGTTTATATTTAATTTTATTTTAAATTGATTAAATCCAAATTATGAATAAACTATAGGAATTTAATAAATTAAAAATTATTAATTTTAAAGATATTTATTTAAATAATATTAAAATATAAAAAGCTTCTTTTTTCGACGTTAAAGTGGAATAATAATTTACAAATTAAGGAACAAATAAAAGTTGAGTAAATTTTATTAAAATTTATACAACCACAAAATATCAACAACATAATGATATAGATAAATAATTTAATTCGTCTATAAGTATTGAATATGTATCTTGTATTAATAAAAAATTAATATTTAAGAAAAAAAAATTAGGATTATATCACTATGAATAAAAACTAATTAAAAGTCGATAAATTATTACAAATTGTTAAAAAATTATAACATTCATAATATTGATTTATTAATAATTTTTAATAATATAAAAGTATTTAAAAAAATTTATTATTGTAAATTTAAAAATTATTTAAGATTTTTAATATTTTTGAATTATTTTTTAATAATTTTTCTTATTATAAAATTTTTAAAAAAGGATATATAAGTTTAAAAATACTTTAAACTATATATTTTTTTAATATTTAAAAGAAAGGAATATAAATTATTCATTAATATAATAAGCATTTTATCCTTAAAAAAAAAAAATATTTATACAACATTTAAATTTTTTTAAACGTATTTTTATTAATAAATCTTATATATTAATAGTTATTTTTTATAAATTAAGAATTATTTTATATAACTAAAATTATAAAAAAATGAACTATTTTATTTAATTGTAATTAACAAATATAAAAAAATAATTAAACATAAATATAAAAATAGATTTAAAAATAAATACATAAATGATAATAACGATTAAGTTGAAGAATTATAATATGAAGAATAAATTTCTACCATATCTGATCATAATTAATAAGAATAAAAAAAAAATGAAGTTGAAATAATTCCCTCTTTTGTGACTTAAGTCGGCAGAGAGTAAATTATAAAAATAAAACATATTTAATTTAACTAATAAATAAAGTGGTAAGGCTAAACCTATTTAAAATATAGATCCTGAAAGTGCAGAATATAATTAAATTGAAAATTATAAATGGACTATGATTAATTGCTTATGTTATTGTTTAAAAAAGTTAATAAACAATTTTTTTATTAAATCTAATAATTATATATATAATAAAATAAAGTAATAAAAAGAGTAGAATACCAATAAAAAATTAGTAAGATGGAGAAATAGAAGCACAAGATAAACTTTACGAATAGAACTAATAATAACTCTAGTAATAACAATAATATTAATAATAAAATAATATAATTTAAACAAATTTACCTTAAAAAGTTCCTCCAAAATGTTTATAGCACATAGTATATAAATTAAAAAATATATATTTATTAATGAATAAAATACATATTTTAAAAATATCCTAAATAAATTTCATTTAAATTAAGAAAATTATTTTTATATTATTTAAAAAAAAAAGAACAAAAAAACCTTAGTAATAGATTTAGACGAAACATTAGTACATAGTTCATTTACTTACATCAATAATGCTGACTTTTCTTTATTAGTAATTATATTATTAAATTTTTGTTTATTAATTAATTAATCAGATTAAAGTTTAAGGAATGTCTTTTGTAGTTTATGTTAAAAAGAGACCTGGATGTGAAATTTTTTTAGAAGTATTAAGCAATTATTATGAAATAATTATATATACTGCAAGCTTATCAGAAGTAAAAATATAAATTAACTATTTTAAATTATTTTTTAAAATTAGTACGCAAATCCAGTTATTGATATTATTGATAAAAAGGGTGTTTGTAGTTTAAGATTATTTCGTGAAAATTGTAGCTTGTATAATGGTATTTTCGTAAAAGATATGTCTAAATTGTAAAGAGATTTAAAAGATATAATAATAATAGACGTAAAAATAAAAATTATAATATGAATAAAAATATATATATATTTAAAAATTTTTATATTTATATATATATATATATATATATAATATATTATATATATATTTTTATAATTATATATATATATAATAAAAATTAGAATTCTGAAACATCATTTTTATTTTAGCCAGCAAATGCAATACATATATTATCTTATTTCGATGATGTTAATGATGAAGAGCTTTATCGTTTACTACCAGTTTTAATATTTTTATCAGATGTATATAATTAAATAACATATATTTTTTTATTAAATAATTAAAAATATATTTATTTTTTATTTTTAATTTAATTAAAAACAGAATTATGACGTAAGGCATGTAGGATGTATGTTGAAAGAATTTGAATAAAATGAAGTTATTGAATATAGAAATATGAAAAATTAAATTTAATCATTTTAAAAGTAAGCTTTTTTGGATTCTTTGGATAATTTTAAATTAATGGAATTAACTAGATAAAAAATTTAGTTTTAAAATTAATAAAGTTCATCTACAGAAAAAGAAATTTTAAATAATAATTCATAAAGTAAAAGATAATAGAAACATATAGAAGAATCATTAACAAATTATGATAAAATATAAAGTAATCAATTAGAAATAGATAATTTTTAAAAAAAAGATGACAAATAAGATGAAAAAACATAAAAATAATAACAAAAAAAAAAAAGGTAGTAAAAATACAAAAAAAATGGAAACAAAGAACTAACTATTGAAGTTCCAGAAGAAGAAGTAGCAGTGACATAATTAACAAACTCAGTAAAAAATGAAAATATTTCTTTATAAAGTTCTGTCAGAAACAAACTTTTAGATGAGGATTAGAACAAATGTTAAATGGTTTAATAAGTAAATGTTTAAAAAGCTAAAGAATACGAGGATTATATAAAATATACAGAATAAATTAATCCATTTGATTTTAAAACATAACCAGAAATAATTGAAGAAAATAGTTAAGCCCATAAAGATATAAAATAAGTCTTTGATAATATTAGATTTTAATATAATTTTTAAAATATGAATTCACCTGTTGCTAAATAAAGTTTTCTAGCACTTCTAGATAATAATAATATTAGAAAAAATACTACTAAAAATAGTGATATTAATAAGAATAAAATATAATAATTGCATTATTTTGATAGTATAAAGAAAAATGTTTATGAATTTTAAAAATAAATTTGAATAAATTAAATTTATTATTAATAATTAAATAAATAATAATATTATATATAATAATAATAATATTCTTTATCTAAAAATCTTTAACAAATATTAAAATTAAAAAATATTATATAAAAATAATATAATATTTAAATAATAATATAGATATAAATAAATTTAAAATTAATATAATCACAGCCATAAAAAAAAACAAAATAAAATAAAAATGAAATAAAATCTTATTTTAACTTATGAATAATTAAATGCAAAATGCTAAACATCTTTATAAAAAATAAGAAATTTAAACAATACATTAACTTAAAAAATGAATCAAGATCAAACTGATGAGAACAAAAATCAAATAGAAACTCAAAAATAATAATTATAAGTTGAAATAAAATCATTGCAAGAAAATTTCTAATTTTTATAGGAAAAAAGTAAATCTCAGGCTTAAAAAACATAACTTAATTAATTAAAATAATAAGCATAATAAGAAATTGATAGGTTTGGTATCATAATAAAAAGTATAGTAAGTAAAAAATACGATTAAAAAATTTAATTTGCTTAAAGATCTGCATCTATTGATTATTCATAATAGTAATAATAAGATGATACTTAAAGTTAAAAATAATATAGTATTAATGAAGATATTGATTTAGAGAAATAATTATAAGAAGAAAGATAGGCTGAATTAGATTAAATTTAAAAAGAAGTTTTTGTAATGAATAATTTAATGAGTGATATGGGCGAGATGGTTGTTAAGCAAGGTGAAGTAATCTAAGTAATTGCTGAAAATGCAGAGTAAACATAAAATTAAGTTCAAAGCGCAAATATTGAATTAAGAAAAGCATAATAACAATAAAAATCTGGTTCTAAAAAATATGTTATTTTCTCAGTAGTCGTCTTGATTGTTATTGCTATTATTATAACTATAGTATTTACTAAAAAAAAATGAAAAGAAAAATTATTTTTATTTAATTATTTATATTAGTCATAAATTTATTATTTGAAAATAAAATTATATTTATTTAACTTATTATCTAGTTTAGTAATTATAATGGCAAAATTATAACTACTATATTTTCAAAAGTTGTTGAAATAACAATCTTAAATTAAATTCCTAATTTTAGATTTGAACTTTATCTTGCAATTTAAAACTTTATGTCAAGTATATAAAAATGAATTTCTTAAAAATTATAAAAAAAAACTTAAAAATAATAGTTAAAGTCATTTCAATAAAAATTTCTAAACCACATTAAATATTTTAGATTTTTGTAAAAATAAATTATATATATACATATTAAATATTTAAATAAGATATTTTAAATACTTAATAAAACTTTAATTAAGATATACAGTGTCCTTTATTTTTGTGAATAAATTAATAATAATATTAATTTTTTTTTTCTTATATTATTTAAGACATTTAATAAATTATATTTAGGATAATAAATTAAAAACTTTTACAAAGTGATATTATAATTTATTTTTTAAAAAAATATTAAAATCTTCTTTAAAATCAAATTTGTTTTCATAAAATTTATATAGGTTATTATTTAAATAATTTATTTACTTAAAATCTAAATTAAGATTTATTATTTAAATATTTAACTTGAAAAAATCTTAATTTTTATTTACTTTTTTTATTAATTTCTAAAATTTCATTTATTTCCTATATCTTATTTTTTTTTATTTAACATGTCATTCATAAATATTTTTTTTGCTTTTATTTCTTTTTCTTAATATATTCAAAATATAATCATACTTCTTCACCAATTCTTCCCTTTTTAAAGGTGGTTAAATATTCTTCCTATTAAATTAATTATTTTTAACTCATAAAAACATTTTTTTGTTATTTCTCGTTTTAAACTATTTTTTTAATTAGTTTTTCTTAATATATAAAATAAATTATATTTTTTATGATTTTTTTACCTAGTTTATGTTTATTATCTTGTTTATCAATATACTTATTAATTTCTAATACAAAATTTAAGAAAAAATTATCTAATAAGATATTTATTTTTTGCCTTTTCAAATATTTAAAAAAATAATTATTTAAACAATTAACCTATATATTTTAATCATTTCCATTAAGAAAAAAAGTCTAATATTTTTAAATAATATTACAATATATTTTTTCAATAGTATATATATTTAAATATTAAAAGCAAACTAGAAATAATTTCACAATATTTAATTTATATATAGAAACTTGAAAAGAATCATAGAAAACTTGAATTATTTATGAAAGAATATAAACATTATATAGAAGAACTTGATAAAGAAAAATATTTTAGGTGAAATTTAAATAAAATAAAATAAAATAATTATTAAATATTAAATTAAAGAACATATGATTCACCAAAAGTAATTTTAAAAGGATTACCAGATTATTATAACAGAGAATCATTTTCTTCTATATTATTAATTATACTTTTAACTTTTGTCATAAATGGTTTAATAGCTTTAGTATTTTATTCTTAGCTAATATTTTATAATCAAAAATCATAAATATATGCTTAATTTTGGCTGATAACGATTATTTTATTTACTATAATTATTGTTGTTTTAAATAATATTATTTCTTATAGAAATATCGAAAATTAATTTATAGATTATTGCGAACAAATTAGAATTTATAAAGAATAATATTAAGTATAACAAACTTAAAAATAACAATAGATATAATTTCTTAATATAGAATAAGAAGAAAAAGAGAAATCATCATAAAAATAGAATAAAAATATTTAAAAAAATAATATTCAATTAAATTAAATAAATTTAAAAGAAGTTTCTTTATAAAAAAACAAAAAAAAAACAAAAAACAAAAAGAAAAATACAAAATAATGACAAATTTTTAATTTTCTTTATTGTTCGTTTTTATTGAGACTAAATATAATAAAGAAATTTCTTAGTAATATTAAATTCAAATTTATATTTAAATTTCTTATTAAAATAAATTAAATGATTGTTTATATTTATTAACATAAATATTTAAAAAAAGATAAGAGATATGATTCTAAATTATAAAACATATATTTAGATAAATTAATTATTTATTAAAATAATTTTATTAAAAATTTATAATTTAAATAAATCAAAATCAAAATATATATTAAAGTTACTATATAAAATTAGAAATTATAATCAAAAAAAAATTATTATAATATAAATATTTTATAGACATTCTAAAATTTTATTAACTTTTTTATTTTGCATATGTTTTTTGCATTCATAATTTTTTTTTTTTAAATATATTATTAATTATTTTATTTTTGTATTTAATTTTTTATTTTAATTTCCATCTATTTAATTTTTTTATAATGTATTATGTTTATTTTAAAAATCTTAACTTTTTATTTAATATTTTTAAAGAAAAATATAATCATATAATTAAAATCATGAATTTATTTAAAATAAAAAAATATAGATTAAAATATTATTTTATTTAAATAAAGAAAAAAATTAAATTGGCGAAATCTATAATTTAATTTTAAAATTTTATCCCTTTAAATTTTTTTTAAAAATATGTATTTAAAAGAAAATATATTTAATTTTATAATCAAAATAAAGAAAAGACTTGTGTAAATTTTGAAACTAATTAAAAAAAAATATATTAATTATTTTTATTTTTATAAAAAATTAATTAATAAGTAATTTATTATATAAATAATAAATTAAAAATTATTAAAAAATAAATAAAATAAAGAATATTTTCATATAAGCTGAAAAAAATGTTTTTAGAATGTCTATCTATAAAATTAATAGAATATTATTATTATTAATTTAAAATATTTTTTATTTCAAAAACATTAATAATATTAATATTACCATAGTTAATTTTCATAAATAAATAATTAGATTATAATAATTTATGTAGTTATACTTTTTAATTATATTATTTACATAATTTTATCCATATATTCAATATTTTTATCACTTTTAATAATTCATAAAAGCTAATTTTATTATTAAAATAGTTTTATCAAAAAGAAAAAAATATCAATAATTTTAAAATATTCTATGTCCAAATTTATTCTAACAAACTAAAAATATGTGAAAAAAAATAATAAGATGTTTTTTAAAATAAAAAAGAAATATTTGATTTTTAATAATAAATAAAATAAATTTTAAAAAATTCTTTAAAACATATTTATTAATATATATAAATAGAAAAAGTCTATAAAATTAATAAATATTTAAAAAAATAAAAAATAATAATTAATAAATGTTTTAAATATGCTTATGTTTTGAAGAAAGTGGTTAAAAAATAAATGTAATTAATAATGAAAGATAAAATTAATTCCAAACTTAATTATATTCCTAACAAATAAATAAATAAAACCAAATTAAAGGAATGAGTTTGTAAGATTTTACTTTGTTAAATGTAATAGGGAAAGGATCATTTTCCAAAGTAGTTTTGGTTAGAAAAAAAGATGATAAAAAATTATATGCATTAAAAATATTAAAGAAGAAATTAATACATGAAAAAAATCAATATAGGAATTTGATTACAGAAAGAAACATATTAATAAATACAAATCATCCTTTTATAATAAAACATTACTCAGCATTTCAAAATAATAAAAAGTTATTCTTTTTATTAGAATATTGTCCAGGAGGTGAATTATTCAACTTGCTATGGAGAAAGAAAACATTTAATGAAAGTTAAACTTTATTTTATGTCGCACAAATTGTTCTTGGATTAGAATATTTGCATGACCTTAATATAATTTACAGAGAGTATATAAAAAATAAATGTGTAGAAATAATATAATAATTTAATTTAACTTTTTTTAAAATGTGTATAAATATATAAAATTAAATTAAAAAGCTTAAAACCTGAAAATGTACTCATAGATATTGATGGATATATTAAATTGGCTGATTTTGGTTTATCGAAAATGCAATAAAATAACTAAAATATGAAATCTGTTTGTGGAACTAAGTAATATTATGCACCAGAAATATTTACAGGCAAAGGATATGGCAGAGAAATTGATTATTGGACATTAGGATGCTTATGTTTTGAATTAATTAGTGGAAAACCTCCATTTTAAAATGAATATGAAATCTTAAATACAGATATTAATCAAATATGTTCCTCTTTGAATTGTTCAATAGAATTTAAAGATTTTATTATTAATTTATTATAAAGAAATCCTTAGAAAAGAATGAATTTATAATAATGTAAACAACACAAAGCTCTTCACGTTATTAACTGGGATTAAATTAGAGAGAAAAAAGTTAGCCCTGCTTTTACTATTGTTAAATAATTTGAAACTGATATTTCTCATATTGATTATCAATTTGTTAATGATAATCCTATTTCTTAAAGTTCTTCTTATTACAATACTTATTTTGATAAAAAATTTTAAGGTAATGTTTTATAAAAATTAATAATATATTAACTATTTTATTTTTAATTAGGCTTTTCTTATAATAATTATTGAATTTTATAACAAAAAAATAATTAAAATTTATATATATTTTATATAATTCAATTAATATATAAATATTTTTCTATATAAATTATATTTTTATTTTAAATTTAATTTCTCTTTAATCATATTTTATATATTAAATATTAAATATTAAATATTAAATATTAAATATTAAATATTAAATATTAAATATTAAATATTAAATATTAAATATTAATAAATATTAAATATTAAATATTAAATATTAAATATTAAATATTAAATATTAAATAAAATAAATTAAATAATGTATTATATATATTTATTATTGATTTTATATATAAAATGTTAAATATAAATAATTTATTTACTATATAAATAAAATAATATTAATCATTTCAATATATATTATTAATTATATATAATTAAATATATAAAAAAATATATATAATATGTTATAAATGACTACTTGTTAATTATGCAAAAATCCATATGATAAAAAAGATCATTTACCAAGAATTATTCCAGATTGCGGACATATTCTTTGTACTTAATGCATTTAAAAAAATTTAATTGAATCATAAACTACATTTTTTTGTCCACACAATAAGTAAAAATTTAACCAAAAATCAATAAAATAAATAAAAATAAATAGTTAAATTATACTATGTAATAGAGATAGTATTTCTAGTTTTTAGATTTTTAATTAAGTAGATTAAGGTAATTAAGAAAAATAGAAAAAACTGAAAAAATAAATACTTTTTTTTCAAGTCCTTAATATAATAAAACAGAATAAAATAATTTTCTTATTACTAATTCTAATTATTCTCCATAAACAAATTGTAATTATAATTAAAAAATGCAATATGAAGAAATAATTAGATGTATTAAAAAATACAACTTTAATAATAATCTTTCAACACAAAATAATTTAAATACAGAAAATGACGATTAAGAAATAATGTCATTAAAGAATGCTTCATAATTAAACAATTATTAAATTTCCTCAATTCAAAATTAATATGATAATAATTAAAACGAATGCATAAAACATTAAAAATGTAAGGATTTAGTTTGCATATAATGCTTTTAAAAAGTAAATAATATGTATATTAAAAAATAATAAAAAATAAAAAAGATTTGCTCACATTGCGCTTTATTTGGAGAACACAAAGGGCATAAAATTTTATCAGAAAGCGAAATCAACTAAGATATATTAATAAACTTAAAAAAATATAATAAATATAAAATTAGTTTTAAAATTATGAGGATAACTTTAATATTAACATAAAAAATGTTATTTAAAAAGAAGTTGATTAGTAAAAATAAGAATTAAAACTAAAAATATCTGAAGAATTTAATAATTTATAAAATTTATTATAATAACAGTAAAAAAAATGTTTAATAAAATTAGAATAAATATTTTCTCATATATAAGATAAGACTTGTAATTAAAATAATATCTTTAAAAAAATAAAAGAATGGTCAAATATGTAAATATATATATATTAAAATTATTCAAAATATTTTATTAAATTAAAGTATTGAAAAATTTAAAATTCATCATGAAGAATGTATTAAAAAAAATTAATTAAACATTGACTTTTTAAAATAAAAGGAATAATTAGTTTAATAAGGAATTTAATTATAAAAAGAATATAAAAATATGATTAATTTCCCTTTAAATGATGTCTAAAATAATATTAAATGCATAAAATTAAATATTAATAACTCTTCTAGTCATACAATATAAAATTGTGTTACAATACAATATAAATAAGAAAAATAATAATCATAAAAATAAAAAAATACTTTTAATAATAATAGTTTTTCATTTGAAAATAAACATTTAAATCATAAAACACCTGTAATTATAACTAAATATTTTAGAAATAAAACTCCTTAGGCTGATAAATAACTGACAGATATGTAAAGTGCTAGATTTTTTAAAAAAATAAACACAAGTCAACAAAAATTAAATTAATCTTTTTCTAAAACATTATAGAATAATTCTATTATATTAACAAAAAGTTAATAAAAATCATATGAAAATTATTCTAATACATGTAAAATTTAGACTACTTAACATAGTGTCACTTCAAAAAAGAGTAATAATTTAAAATTAATAAAAAAAAGTAATCTAAAATAATCTGATAAATTAAATCAAATTTTAGAAAAGCTAAAAAAAAATTCTTATTTAGATTAAATCGAACTTGTAAACGAAGACATTAATGATTTATAATGTGAAGATATAGCACATTATATATCAAGCACATTAATTAAAATTGATAGTATTAAATTGGCAAAAAACAAAATATCTGATTCAGGTTTAAAAGTTTTGTTAGATGGTATGCTCTAAAGTAGACAAAGTGTCCATACTCTAAATTTAACTAATAATGATTTAAGTGAATTAGCCTTAGATTATTTGTTAGATTATTTATAAAAAAATTAAAATAATTGTCTTAAGAATATTTACCTTATTAACAATAACATAAATTAAAATAAGTTTAAAGAAAAGATCTAATTCTTATAACTATATGCTAATATACATTTATGAAAAAAATTAAAATTAAATAAGGTACTTATGTGATTTAAAATTCAATTATATTAATTTAATGTTATTAGTATTCTAGTTTTATATCTTTTTATTATATTTCTTTAAAATATCAATAATTTTAAAATTCGAAATAAATTTATTCATTTTTATTATCTGTAATATAAAATATATATTTAAAAGAAAAATAATCTAAAGTTATTATTTAAAAGTTAATTTAAAAAAAAAGTATAATATCATTATAAATATTAATATATATATAAAAAATATTTCATGTCATAATATCTAACACCTTAATAATATTTAGATTAAAAAAAGCCAAAGAAAAATTTGTTATTATCATAATTTTAAAAAGATAAAGGAACTGAATCTGCAATATTTGACTTATATGTTATAAGTGATGGTTAAAATTAAAAAATAATACCTTTTAGAAACACCCGTTGTTTAAAGGTACAATGTATTCATACACAAAATTAAATAATTGAAGAATATGTAAAAAGTCAACATAATATAGCATATTAATTTGAATGTAAAATATGTTTTGTTGATCTATATTTAAAAGATTTTTTTATTGATGAATAATTATAAGAAATAATAGATTAGATTGATAATAAAAAACAAAAAAATTTAAAATAAGTAAAAGTAAATAAAGACTTAACATGGTTTCCAGTTTGTGATTAAAAAACAAACTTTATTTATTTTCAAAACTAGCCTTATTAATGTGAACCTTAAGAAGCTCCTTTATTAAGTGACTACAGTATATAAGAACATGATCGATTAATAAGTTTTTATAAAAACGAAATAAAAAAAGAACGTTAAAGTAGCGATACTGCATTTGAAGATTATACAAACAATTAAATTACAATAGATAATATTGATACATTTCTTGAAAATTAATAAATTGTTCCTAATATAATGGTTTTTATAATTAATTATTTAGAAAATTTCAATTAATATGATTAATTTAAATGGTAAATATATTATTTGGGATTAAATATAAAAAGCTTTGACAAGTAAAAAAATACATGTGAATTTGAATATTTTTAAGGATTAGAATTTAATTTAGGTCTAAATGAAATTAATAAGTATGAATGGTTAAGTGTGATTTTCCTATATTAAGAAGTTTGGAGTTTACTTTTTTATCATATAAGAAGTAAAAAAGCGTATTTAATAAATTATTTCAAAGAAAACTTTTCTTCAGAATAAAATATGTAATCTTTATTATAATATATGATTAATAATATAGCGTATTCGTAGGCAAAAAATAAAATTAATTTCAACATTTTTCCTAACTTTGGAATATCTAAACCTGAATACAAAAAATTTTCTGGTTTTTACATATTTTATTATTATTATTAATTTATATCTTAAAAAACTATTTAAATTCTCAAAAAAACTACAGCTAATGAACTCAAAGTTATAAATCATCAACCTTAAATTATTTAATGGTTAATTTTATAATGTACTGAAAATTATTATAGAAAACACAAAGATAATTATCAAAAACCAGAATAATAAACTCCTGCTGCTACTCCTGCTGCTAATCCTGCTGCTGATATTAATGAGCCTGTATTAGAAAAACCACCAAGCAGTAAGCCATCTTTAGTGCCTGCTCCCATCTTATAACCTCCGCCGCCTCCTTCACCCCCAGAATAACTTAAAGATGGGATTTTACATATCTAAAATCCTGATTAAGTTAACAAGCCTTCAAATATTCCTTTAAAAATTGAGTGCGATGTAATTTTAAAAGAAATAGAATTAGAACCACCAGCAAAAATCAAAACAAGACCAACTCTTCCCTAATAGACTCAAAGAAAAAGTCAGTAAATAATAAAATATATAGAAAAACCTGTTCAAAAAAAAATACCAATGTCAACCAAAAGCGTACAAGTATAAATACAAGATGATAAAAGCGAAAAAAGTGTCTTTTCTTATAGTCCAAATCTTCCAATTTAATATAATGACTTAGACGAAGAAGTATAACTAACTCGCGAATAATTAATATAATTATTAGAAAAAATCAGAAATAATATTGTACATGAAATCAAAAATCCAGAGCCTGATTTAGCAAAAAAATATATAAACTCAATTGAAAAGTTCAACGTAAAAGTAGATAAAATTGATAAAACAATGCCTTTCACAATGCAAAACTAAACACTATTGATGAATGGAGAATAAATGTATAATATTTTAAATCGTTATAGGAAAGAGATTTAAAATAAAATGAATATTGATTATAAATATGGACTTACCTTTGAAGATCCAGAATAAGAACGTGAAGAAATTGTCCAAAATTATTAAGCATTTTAGCAAATTTTATGGTATTATTATCAATACTAACCAGAAATGTATAAACAACTTTTAGATGAATACAATCATAGGTTTCATAATTAACTTCTTCAAAAGCTTGGATTAAATGAAAAATTTTCAATTTAATAAAATAATACAATACAAAAAGCAATACAGACCAACTTGCCCCCTTTAAACAGCGCAACAAATAATTAAAAAGGGCCTTAATTTAATTAAAGATCTAGTTAATAATTACCTTAGATATAAAGATCTTTAATACAATAGTAACAATAAACAAATTCCCGAATTCTAGGCAGTTCAATATAGTAAAATAATTCAGTATAATCTCAATAACTTAATACATTACAAACATAAAAAAAATCTATTTTAGATTCAAGATTGGCTTAAAATGAATAAATAATTGAATTTTTACCATCATAAAAAAGTTTTATGCCTAAAAGCGAGATTTCTGGAAAATTTTAAGCTAAAGTTTAAGAAAATGAAAATAATATTTTGGCTGCTAGATATGGAAAAATTATTAAAAAAGATGAATTTGATATTTTGGTTAAAGAAGATCAATTTTCTGAAAATATTTTTAATTTTTATATGAAGTTTTTATAAGAAAAAAATAATTAATAAATTAACAAAAAACTTGTTTTTACTTGTAGTTTTTATTAAATACTTAGTAATAATTATACTTTTGTTACTGAAGGATCAATTTAAAAAGCATAATAATATACTGAATAATTTTCAGGTGAAAAAAAATCTATTTTTGATATTTTTGGATTATTATTAATTCCAATTTTTAGAAGTTATTTATAAGTTAGTATAGCTGTTGTTGATTTTAAATAAAGTCAAATAATTTTATATGAGATAATTAAAGATTAAAATGATGGGGTGGGCCTTAATAATAAGATATTATCAAATATTTGGAAATTCCTTGAAAAAGAAAATGATTTAAAATAAAATAAAAATATTAACATTCTGAAATGGGAGTTCTTAAACATCGATTTAATTAAAGGAAATTTTAATTAAAAGTTAGCTCTACTTTATGCAGCTTATTTTATAGAAAAAAATAATTTGAATATTTAAGAAAAAGATATAATATAGTATAAAAATTATGTTCAAAGCATTATAACTAAAATCGGAATAACTAAAAATTTAAAAAATGAATTAAATTATAAATAAATATTTTGATATTATATATATGTATATTACGCTACATATTTTCATAAAATTTCTATTAAAAAATAATTTTCTTTTTTTAAATATTTTTTTAAAAAAGTAAATATTATATTTAATAATAAAGAAATACTTAATATTCATTTTTTTTAATAAAATATGTAATATTAATAATATATTCAATATCAAATATTATTAATATTATATATAATTATTATTTCTTTTTCATAAATAATTTTTTAAAAGATATGTTATATATTTGTTTATTTCAATATTTATTTGTAATATCATAGAATATTTTTTCATATTATTTATTACTTGTCCATATTTTTTATTTTAAAATAATCAATCGAAAAATAGAAAAAAGCCAGAAAATGAATAATTACATATTTTTTTTGATTGACTATTTTTCTAAAAATAAAAACAATAAAAAAACAATATGAACATATAATATATTGATTTTATAAATTTTATCGTAAGCTAATAATTACTTTTTTATATTTATTTAAAAGAAAATATTAATTATACTAATTTACATAATTATATTATTTACTCTTTACACTAATATAAAAGTTTATAAATGTAGTTTAATATATATAAAAAATTCAGTTTAATGTATTTTATAATAATCTCTTTTGTAAATATTATCAATAATATTTAATTTAAAATTAAAAAAAAAATTATTAAATTATATATAAATTAATTTTATATTCAGAATTAAAAAAATAATTAATTTTATTTTATTTTACTAAAAAAAATAAAAAAAAAATAATATTAATACATTTTTTATCTTTACCATTAAAATATATTAACCATATAAGTTTATAGTAAATAATTTTAAGTAATAATTAATAGATTAAATTATTTGTTTTATTTTAAAATTTAAGTGAAATGTTTAATAAAACTATTAATATTGTAAACTAATTATTTATTTAATAATTTAGTATATTAGTCTATAATTTTTTTAATTTTTACATGTTAAGTAGAATTATTATTCTTTAGTTTTTATATTTTTAGCATAACTTTTCCTATTATTTAAAATATAATACTATTCATTTTAAGTGCCATTCAAATTAATTAATTTTTTTAGTAGAATTTTTATTTCCTTTATTAATTAAATTTCAATTTAAAAATCATTTTTTATTTTTTTGATTGGTGTTTATAGAATAAATCTAAAAAAATAGCTCTATAAATATAATCTTGAAAAATTGGATAAATCTTATTTTATATAAAATTAGTAAATACTTTTTTTTTTAATGTTTGAATATTTAAAATTTTATTTATTTTTTAATAATATTTTCCCTTTAATTATAATAATTCTAAATATTTGCTTAGATTTTCAATGTTCAATAGTAACTTAAATTTAATCTAATTTGTAATTTTTTAGACTTTTATTTTCAATAGTTTTTTTAAATGATAAATATTCAAATACGCTATAAATGGTGCAATATATTCATATTATATAATATTTAAAATTAATATATTATTTAAATATTATTCTATCATCATACCTGAGTTTATTAAAAAATTATTATTATTATTATTAACTCAAAAAACATTTAAAATATGTGGATAAAATATATTTCAAAAATATTTAAATTAATTAAGTTTATATATTTTATTATATTTCCATTAATAAATTTTAATAAATAAAATTAAATATTACACATTTTTTGCAAATTATTTAAATAATAAAATTCTTTAACAAATATTCTTTTAAAAATATATAACTTTTATAAAAAAATTAATTAATATTATTTATACACAATAAAATTATTTATTAATAGTAAATATGAAAAAAGAAAGATTAGAAAAATTGTCTCGCCCAAAAACAGCAGGAAATAATTTTTTAAAGAAAAAAATAGACCTAAATGGTGAAGAGAAATATAAGGAGTTAGAAAAAAAGGAATAGTAAAGATTAGTTGATGAAAATGGAGAACTGCCTTTAATTTTTTAAAAAAACCCTATCTTTTAAATATTTGAAAATTAACTTTAAGCAGAGTTATATAATGCAAGATGTAACGACACAGGCGAAGTATTTTTACTAAAAAAAAAATAAGTTAAAAAATAAAAAAAGCATATTCAAAAAGAAAAAGCATAAGTTTTCAAAGATGAATTTAACCGAAGAAACTAAAAAAAGTTTAGTAATATATTAAATATGAATTCCATGCGTTTAGGGGTAAACAGTATGATAACTTTAAGTAGTCTTTTATAGGCAGACTTATATAAAAAAGATTAATCATAAATTGATTAAAATAAAAAGGAAATATATAACTATGATACATTAAATCTAGCAGACAATGCTATATCAGACAATGGAATGCATTCAATTAAATAAATAATAGCAAATACTAAAATAAGGCATTTAAATTTATCGTCAAATATGATTTCTGAAGCTGGATTTGAGATGATAGTTGATGATTTATCAAAGAACATTTACATAAAAACCCTAGATCTCGGAATTCAGGAAGGAAGTATAAGAAAGAATTCATTTGGAGTAGATGGAGCAAAATGTATAGCTGCATTAATTTTATAAAATAAAAATATAGAAACAATCCGATTATAAGATAACGATATAGGAGTTACAGGAGGAGATATAATAGGAACAGCTTTAAAACAAAACAAAACATTAAAAAATCTTACAATAGCCGAAAACGAACTTAAAACAGCAGGTGCAGAATTTATTTTAAAAGCGGCAACAAATTTAGAATCTTTAGATTTAGGAAAAAATTATATTAAAATGGGGATAGGAATTACTCTAAAAACATATATTGAATAAAATAAAAATTTAAAAAAATTAAATTTAGAATACAATGAATTATTAGTTGGAGGTGTGCGAGAATTTAGAAACGGACTTTTTATATCTAAAAGTTTATAATCTTTAAATTTAAAAGGCAATGGAATTAGAGATGAAGGTTTATAACTTATAAGTGAAGTATTGTATGAAAACAATATTTTGGAAGAATTAGATGTATCATTAAATGAAATTACACCAGTAGGAATTTAATATTTAGCAGATGCTTTACAATATTCAGGAATTAAAATTCTAAATATAAGTAAAAATCTACTTGGAGATGAAAGTCTTATTATAATTGCTGATAAAGCAAGATAAAGCGAAAATGTAATAAAATTAGAAAAAATTGAATTTTCGAGCTCGAGAATTGGAGATGCAGGTGAAAAAAAAAAAATATTATATTATTTATTTATTTATTTATTTATTTATTTATTTATATATACATTTTTTCACAAATAAGGTATATTACATTTTTTAGAAAGAATAGAAAACTTTGAATTTATAAGGTCTATTAAGACAATTGATAATTTTATATCTGAAAAAATTGAGAAAATTTTATTAGAAATATTAGAGAAAAATAAAAGTTTGACTGAATTTTTAGTTAATGGTAACAGATTATCTTTATGTTTTTTAAATAGAGTTAAGAAAATTTTATAGAGAAATTTAATAGAGTTAGAAGAAAGAGAACCTAATAAAATAAAAACTGAAATATACAGATTAAAATATGAATAAAAAAAGATTATAGCAGAAAGAAAAAGATTAGAGGCTTAAGAAAAAAAAATTAATGATTTAGAAACTTATAAAAACTAATTATCGCACAAATTGGATACTATTAAAAGAAGTGAAGCTGAAAAAAGAAAAGAATTAAAAAATAAAATTGATGATTAACTAAGATTAATTGAAAGAAAAAAATAACTTATAGGTTTTTTTATTATAATTTTTTTATTTATATTACTTTTTAAAACATTATTTTATTTATTTTTTTTAGAAGAAAAAAGTTTAAAGTTTGAGACTAAAAAATAATAATTAATAGAGGAACTTAACAAATTAAAATAAGAATTCTAAATTATTGAAATCGAGAGAAATCGAGTTTTTCAAGAATTAGATAAGATTAATAATGAAATTTCTTAAACAGAATAAGAGTTTTAAAAAAATCATGAACAATTAGAAACATAAATTGGATTTTAAAAATAAAAAAAAGAAGAATTTGACTGTAAAAATTCTGAATTAAATATTGAATTTGCTTAACTTATTAAATAAGAAAAAGAATTAAATTAATAATTAACAAACCTTGAAAAAAAATAATAATATAAAAAAAGTGCAATAAAAACCATAAAGGACAGTACAATTAAATTATGAAAAAAATATTATATTTAATTATATTATGAGAAATGTATTTTTTATATTGATATCATAATATATTTTCAAATTATAAAAATTAAATTAAAGTGAATATCCAAAATTGGATTCACATAAATATTAAATCAGTATAATATCAAAAAAAATTTGTTGTCTTGAAAATCAATATCCTAATTTTTAATATTGCTATTATCGAATATTATAATTTAATATAAGAATTATGAAAAAAACATTGAAAAACCTATTAAATAGTTTCTGATTTAAATTTTAATCGGACTCCTAAAATTTGAAAAAATTGTTTTTAAAAAATATGATTTTAAAAATAAGATTTCAAAGTAAATTAGTTAAATACATTTTAAATTTGAAAGTTTAAAATTATAAAATAATTCTAAATTTGAAAGTTTAAAATTATAAAATAAATTTGAATAACAAATATTTATAATAATTTAAATTTTTAATTAAAAATTTCAAAACGCTATTTTTATTAATATTTATTTATTAAAAATATTAAAATCAAAAATTATGGAATTATAAATAATTAAAACTAATTGTATGTATGGAAGATCCCTAAAGATCAGGACAGAATATTGTACCTAATTTAATTGAAATAAGATAATTAGACTCATAATAAATATTATAAAAATAAGAAAATAAACAAACAAACAAAAAATATGTAATATATAATTATTTCTAGTATATTCTAAAGAAACGAAAAAAAATATATATAAATTTTTCTTTTCTTTAAAGTAGCAAATCGCGAACAATTCTAAATTTTCTTCCCAAAACAGGAGAAGACTCCGAGTATTATCAAAAGTCGTTAGGTTTATTTAGTGAAAAGGACATACCTAATCCTTACGTCGCCGGCCTACTATAGTATCCGTCCGTATACTATAAGGAAATAAGGGAAGATATTAAAAGACTCCTATGCTTCTACCACGAGAATCTCTTACTAATCCTTTATTTTCAATCATAGAAATATTCTTGCTAAGTTACCATTTAAAGTTACACAGACGATGATTTTATTAAAAAAAAAACCTAGTTTTCCTTTTTTTAACAAAATATTTTTTTTTAAATTAATTAGATAAAAATTAAGATAATTTGATTTCGAAAATCAATTAAAACAAAATTAATTTTTTAAAAATTACATACTTAAAATAAAGAAAGGTATTATTAATTCTTAAATTAGATAATAAAATAATTAAATAAATTTAATTCTTATATTACTAATATTTATTTTATTAAAGATAATTATTTAAGTATTAATGCACAAATTATTTTAAAATTTAAAAAAAAATTGTATCATTTATTAATAAAAAATATATTACATAGTTTAGATTAATTCATGAAACAAATAAAAAAATAAATTAATCAAAAAAAGTAATAAAAATCAGTTAAAAATTCGCTATTTTATTCAAAAACATTTAAACACAACCTAAAAACCTTTTCTCCTCCCGAAATTCTGATAAAATTTTAATTTTATTTTTTTATAAAATATATTTAAACTTAGAACGTAATAACCATATCTATAAATCTTCGACTCTCCTCTAAAAATAAAGTTACTTAATTTGAAAAAGAGGTGTATGAAAGTGCTTTAATCTGATTTAGTTTTGAAATCAATAGTATTAAACTTATTATATTTAAGATTATAAAAAAATAAATTTTATTAGAATTTTATTTTCACAATATGTTGAATACATTTTTTTGCATAAAAAAAAATCTTATTATTATAAATATTCATAGTGTATTTTAGTTTCACCAAAAATTATAAAATATTGTCCAATAAATTTTCTTTACCTTTTCTGCTTAATAGAATATTTTATTCTTATTTCATTATAAATTTTGTGTATATATTTATTCTAATTATATACTATAAACATTTTAAATAATGTTTCCATATTTAATTATATTTATTTAAGGTATTAATTTAATTATTTACTGAATTACTTATTTTTATGATTAAATTTTCCTTTTAAGATATCAAAAAGTTCATCCATAAATACCTAATTAATAAAAATAAAAAAATAATTAATTCATCAATAAGATTTTCGGAATTTCACCAAATATTTGCAGCTTAAAACTTAAAATATAAATAAAAAAAATATAATAGAAGCATAACTGTCTACTTTTTTAATTTATACTTTTAGCGAATATGATAATCCTTAATAAAATTGGGTACCAATTTCGAAAAACCAATATAACTGAATAAAATAAAAAATTTTAAGCTTTAAATATCCATTTATTTTTAGAATTACATAAATAATAGTCGAAAGATAATAAATATTAAATTAATTAATAAATATATTTATTTTATACGAATTATTTTGTTATTTAGAATATTACAAATCAAACTTTTTCTAAATATATTTTTATTATTAAACAAACAAAAATTATTTATTTTTTAAACTTTAACATTATATAAAAATGGAGTCTTTACAAATTAGAATGATATATAATTAATAAATCAGTTTAAATAATCACTAAGTTTTTTATATAAATTTAATTTATGAATATTTGAATTCAAAAAATTAATATATGAAATAAATAATAAAAATTAAATAAATTATTTTAATAAAATATTCCGAGAATTATATTTTTAATTTTTATTTAAATTCTTTTTTATGAATATTATTATTTTTTAGCAAAACATTTATTTATTACATAAAGAAATTTTATTTTGTTTTTTGAAATTATAGTTAAATTTTATTGCAAATATTTGAATAAAAAAATATAATATAATAACCTAAATTGTACAAAATGACAGATGATCAATATGATTCGGACAATGCATGGGATGAATATAATCCGTTCTAATTTATTTTTCAAGGGTAAAAATATTGTCCGTCGATTTTAGTTTTTTGAAATCAGAAATTTACATAATGTTCAATAAAGGAACAAAATATATATTAATTTTAATGTAATTGAAAATATAAGTAAAATATAGTTCATATAATGTAAATAATAATTTCAATTAAAAATTAAGAATGAATATAATTTTAATGAAATAAATTAAATTGTTTTCATTTATAATGAATATATATAGTGCACGCAATATTTGATATAATAAATAAAGATTATATTAATTTTATGTATATTATAAAATATATTAATCTAATTTTTATTTTCAAAAACTATATTAAATTATAATTAAGTAATGTTTATCTATTCTTTATATTTTATCCCTAAGCATCTTTTATAAACTTATGAAAGGATTATACTTTTTTAAATTTTAAGGAAGAATAAAATAATTTAAATCTTTTTTCAAAAAGTATAATAAATTACCTTTAAAATCAGTAAATACTAATTAAATATAAATTAAAAATAATTTAGTTTTCAAAGGTACTAAACAATAACTCAAAATTTATAGAAATATTATTTTTTTTAAAAAAAATTCATTTGATTCTGCATTATTATAATATATCCTAAAAAAAATTATATATACTTTTTTGGGAAATTTATTCAGCAAATAACTCTTTATAATTTAAATTTTTTATATCAATTTAATTTTAACAATATTTTTCAATAATATTAATAATAAGTTTACCATATTTATCCTTCTTGTTAAAACTTTTGAAAACTAGAAATATTCGATTTAAAAGCATATATTATGTAAAATAATATTGATTTTATAATATACTAATAACAATATTTTTCTTTTTTTAATTTATCTTTTAATTTAAAAATTTTTAATTTAAAAATTTTTAATTTTATGGAGTGTAAATATAAAAAATTTGAAGGCTTTAAAATAAATTCTATTAGGCAATTCAATTTCTTAAATTATTATTCGATTTATGTTGAAGTGTTAAAAATTAAATATAAAAAATAAATTTTTATTTTAATTAAATGCAAAACAATATAATAATTTCTTAAATAACATTATCTTATCTATATAATTTTGTTTTATTTATTTTAAATGCCTTTTTTGTTAATATAGTTATATGAATTTAGAAGAAAAAAAAAGGATAAATTAAATAAAAATATAAATTTAAAATAAAATAAAATTGATAGAAAAATATAATAAATTATAATAAAATGAATATTGAAGAACCTAAAAGACATAAAATAATAAAATATAAACAAAAAATTTAAGAAAAAATAAAATAAAAAAGATTAAGAAAATAAATAAAATAAAAAAAGAAATGTAAAAACAATTCTAACACATCAATAAATCAAGAAGATAGAATAAATTTTAAAGCAAATCAGCTCATATCTTTATATGAAAATAAAGAAAAA